CGAAACGGCCCCTCCTCTAGGACTCGGCGCTGTTGTAGGCCAGCATAACTCGGATCAGGGTCTGAACGAGACAAACGGCTCCTGGACACTGGCTGAACCCCCGCGGTCGCCCTCGATTCATAGTCAAATTGACGAAGACAGGGCTGCTGTGCTCCTTCATCCGCGCCCGGCTTCGAGCGCTAGCAGCAACGGGAGCCGCTTAGTCGAGAAGCTCGAGGAGAGCGTGGGCAAGCAGGACCAGAACGAGTTTGGCGTGAAGCAGCACGTGTCGAGGAGCATTCGCAGTCTCTTCCTGCTGGCTCGTTCGTCCGGTATCGACAGGGAAGAGTTTGAGCGGTTGGTGAAGACGGAATTGGATGTCCTTGGCATGATTGAAGACGACGAGGTTTGAAGCCACGAGGCTGGCGGACTTTTCTTGTATATGACGTTTCTCCTCCTCGGTGATGCTCCGTGGGGATTTCCGCGGGATCAGGCTGTCATTCGGCATAGGGTTGTGTTGGGCTGCATGTAACGGGGCGTTTATCCATGGCCATACCTTTGAATACTAAGAATTAAAACATACATCTTGTAAAAAAAACCTGTATCAGTGAAAAGAAGTACAAGTTATAACGAAGAAGCAGCGACCATCGGGAAACGTGTTGGCATATAGCAAAGAAACGCTCAACAATTCCCGTAGTCTGATGAGCGAACCCCGGCGCTGATGATAGTTGAGTACACGTCGGGGAAGAAGATGTTGTCCAACAAAGTGCCAACGTTAGGCCTGTTGACCGAATAAAAACTTGAGGAAGAAGGAGCGTGAACAAGAACAAGAATGAGCGCCTCTAAGTTGATCGTAAAGCCATAGGTCCATAAGTTGAAGAAGTCAAAGTAGTCGCATCGAGGTAGTCGTCTATTTGGCCGGTCCCAACTGTTGTGAACCTTCCAGCATGCCGCGGTCTGAGATGGGAGGGGGGGGGGGGTTCGAAATGAGCCGACGGCTGTCCAACCGTATCGCCCCTACTAGGTATAGGTAGTCTCGATCGTCTGATCTCTGACATTCCTCGCGACGAACGAATGGGGGAGACTCCGATGTAGGCTATATTTAATTACAGCACTTAAGTTGAAGATGCACTGTTTGAAGAAGATTGTCGGCATTGATTTCTCTTGTTGCTAGGAGCGGATCAGGTGATTTGCTGATTTTGGATCTCGGCCCATTGGGAGCATTCGCCAGTGGAGTGAGAAGTGTTGTCCGATGACGCTTGACGAGAGAAGATACATGTGAGTGTGTAGCAAGCCCTTGACAGAGAGCGCGGAGGGAGGATCAGCGACCTTGTTTGCTCATGGGTGGTTCTCAGTACTGTGTAAGCGCCCAGTCAGTCTTTGGCGGTGGTGTGTGTAAGACGAGCGGGCGCGCGGGCGGTTACGCAGTCGCCGTGGGCTGGAACCGAGTTCATGCCGTAAGCATTGAAATTGGCGGTTACGTTGGTGTGCCTGTTCAAACGTTGGTCGTGACAATGATAGACTACGATTGTGGAAGGATTGGCGGGATGACGAGTGGCAATGTTGAATGAAGATTGGGTTTGTAGTCGATGTTGGTGCATTCACGGCTTAGAACCGAACCATCCGGGAGGAGCTTGAGCAGTGGCCAGTCGCTGATTCTTCTAGTCTATCAAGTCACAAGAAAATCCAACACAGGGTTGTCTTTCTTCCCGAACTCTTCGGAAGATGCTCCTCATTAGTCGTCATGCCGTGCAAGTTGGAAGTTGCATCTTGTAAGTGGAAGCCATCACCAAGTACCTCCCGGCTCATAGACCCACCCCGAAAAAGACCCCACAAAACATCGGAACGTCTTCGCGCCTCAATCATAAGGCCACAAACAAACGCGCCAATTGGACACGCGGGAACAGCCGTCCCAAAAAAAGTTCACCATCGTCGAAGCTCCCGGCCTACAGCTTTCCCTTTCGTCGGCGACACGGTTCAACTTCCCTACCACGCCCCTCCAAACGACCGTCCTCCCCAAGATCCACCAGTGGTTGAGGAAATCCGACATACACATACCACAATAATGCTCTCACGATTAAGGTTACCGCGCATCGGCGCGAGCATCGCCGCCGCCGCCAGAGCAGCACCGGCCAGACCTCTCCAGCAGCGCTCGATACACTACGTCCCCCAGCTCTCCCACGACTTCAAGGACGGCGTGCCGGGTCTGCTGTCGGCCGACGGCTACGATATGGCGTGGAACCAGTACATGACGCTTGTCCTTGACAAGCTCAATGCCTTGATTGCAGGTCAGTCTACGCTGTTCTCCTTCTCCTCACTTGGCGATCCTAGCTCCCGTCGCATGATAATCTCGAATCGTTCCAATCACATTCAATGTGACACACAACGCAACCAGAGAAATACTAAACCACAGCAACACAGGCACCGACCTCGAACAGCGCGACGTCAAGCAAATCCTCCTCGCCTCGGCCCAGGACCCCTCCCAAGCCCCCGTCTTCAACAACGCCTCCATGGCGCACAACACCCACTTCTTCTTCAAGAACATCACCCCGAACCCGAAACCCATGCCCGAGTCCCTCGCCGCCGAGCTCTCCCACTCCTTCTCCTCCATCGACACCCTCCGCCGCGAAATGATCCTCACCGCCTCCTCCATGTTCGGTCCCGGCTTCGTCTGGCTCGTCAAGGCAGGCCACCAAGACTACCGCATCCTCACCACCTACCTCGCGGGCTCCCCCTACCCGGGCGCCCACTGGCGCCTCCAGAGCACCGACATGAACACCGTCGGCCTGGGCGGCTCCGCCAACAAGTACTTCCAGCGCAGCGCCGCCGCCCAGAGGCCGGGAACGAAGCCGCCCGGCGCGCTCGACGCCGTGCCGCTTCTGTGCCTCAACACGTGGGAGCACACGTGGATCCGCGACTACGGGCTCGGCGTCGGCGGCCGCGGCGGCAAGAAGGCGTTTGCTGAGGCGTGGTGGGAGGTGGTTGACTGGGAGGCCGTCAACCTCGCGGCGGACATTCCTTCCCGGCCACAGTTCATGCGGTAAACTAAGAAAGGAGGAGGCGGGGGTGAGAAGTGATCGCCGGACTTGTGGGAGCTGCGAGAGCTGGTGAAATGATGGCTGTGGCGCGACTACTATGCGACCTACAAGCCGCTATAGGGGAGCTTAGCCAAGCTTTTTGAAGAAGTTGGGGCGAAAGGGGGAGAAGTGAGGAGAGACCCGTCCATCGACACGGGAGATATCCCCCCTATAGTCCTGCAAGATCTTGTGTGGATAGTAGTCGGGGGCGGGCGACGGACTGGCGGACTACATGTAGGAATTATCAAAAAAGGCAAGACGAAACTGTAAGAATAGAAACCGCTGCACATATAGAGAAGATGGGTGGTTGCAGAGTAACATGTACTATTCCTGTACTACTTTAAAGACTCCCCCCCCCCTGGCAATTAAGATCGTGCCATCACTCTGAACCGAACAAACTGTTTAGATGTGCTCTATAGATTGAGTACGACTCTTGGTCGTACCACCGGGCTCATCCCCCTCGGCCTCTCCATATAGCTGCTGGCAAGACCATACCTTCTCCTACCCTAAGCTGCCCTTGATTCATTCAGTGACAGCAAGGGAAAGGGGAAGAAAAGACCTAGGAAGGAATTCTTGATGGTCCTCAACTGGGCCTTCGAGATAATGCGCCTCGTCTAACCGCGCCCGGCTGGAGGTGATGCAAAAAAAAAGCTTTCCCCTGTTGGTATCTTGAAACCGATCCAAGGGGCAAGGTAAAGTTACCTCCACGTCTCTCTACGCATACATTGATGCCGCAAGCGAAGCAACGAAACAGGACCGCAATGCTCGTTCTTCATGCCGAGTTCCAGAAAAGGGCCCGGCCACTATGTCAGACGGAAACTGCAGAGAATCCCCACGAGCTTCACCGGGTCGAATTAGCTCACCCACAAGTAAACCTTCCATTGCCCTTGCCTTTCATCTTTGCTTCAACTTGGGAAAAAAAAAGGCTTTGATAGATGGATTCTATTCGAGTCGCTCAACTCAGCAAAGACTCTTCATCGTCTCGTCTCAACACCCCCCCCCCCCCTCTTCCTCTCAACTCTGTTTCCCCTGACTGCATTTCGCGCCAGGCCAAGACTCTCTCTTGAGCAAAGACCAAAGTTCAATCTCTGATACATCACATCACAAGGGAAGTCTTCACAGCTTCAAAAGTCACGAGAAGAAAGAGCAAATGGTATTCATCTTCATAACCGAGATCCCGGAGCGTCGCCCACAAAAGCGGCTCGGCTCCTGTTCAGGTCCCCTATTTTTCATTTTGCAACCAAACTCTCTCAAATAGCTATAACAAAAAAGTTAACTTAGGTATCATGGTAATCCCTCCCAGTAGTAAGTAATATGTTTAGAAAAAAGGGCAAAGGAGTGTCTTTTCGTTCCATTTCATTCCGTTTCCATTCCGTACGTGTTGTTTTCTTTTTGGTATTTTGTTTTTCTTTTCGGTTTTCATCAGAGAAATAAGAGACAGCGAGAAATAGAATAATTATGTTCAGTGAGGAACCTCAACCGAGTTGTCCAAATCAAAATCCCCGGGTTTCCTATCCTTTCCCTCCCCCCCTGTTGTAATAAATAGAGGAAAAAAAAGGAGTCATATACCCGGCGTCAGGTAGAGGGGGGAGGGAGAATCTGATTTCAAGGATGTAACAAATGCCGCTATCCAGATGACTTATGCAAGAGAGGAGATGAAACGGAAAAAAGAGATGAGAGAGTTGATTCAAGCTTCTCAGAGTGCCCGAGAAGCTCGACCTCTCAAAGACGAAATCCAAAAAATGGCAAAAGAGTGTACCAATGACGACCTTTCATAATAGAAATAGAGTCCCCGAGGCAAATGTTGCTCGCTTGCTGGCTTGCTTTGCTTGAAGTGAAGATGAAAAGCAGTGAAAAACAGACGTTAAACACGAAACGCAAGTCATTATCGGATATTCGGTGCTTTTCTTGGCTTTTGAGAAAGGATCGTTTCGACAGGGAGGTCTAGATCATGTTGCCGTTAACACTGACTTCGAACCCATCACCCTTCTGCTTCAGCGCCTTGGCGAGCATCAACTCCCGCATCCAATCGATACGGTCATCGCGGCTCTTGACGGCAAAATGATGTGTCTTGCCCGTGCCGTTGGCGCCCTCGGCGGGGATCGACCCGGAGCTCGAGGAGTGCCCGTGCCCGAAGCCGTGCAGCGCGCTCCCGCGCTTCCGCAGCTTGGCGCCCGCGGACTCCTTGTCCTTGTCCTGCGGGATGAGCTGGAAGCTAAACGCCGCAACGGGGTCGCTCTTCTCGCGGCTGTGTGACGACGAGGAGCTGAAGTGGACGGCCTTGAAGGCGGCGGAGAGCTTGCTCTGCGACGCGAGGCTGGAGCACGCGATGGCGTAGTCGTCGACGTCGACGTACTCGAGCGTGCGGTCGACCGTCTTTGCGTCCTTGTGGACGGCGAGACGAGTGCCCTTGAGGGTGCAGAAGGTGTCGTTCCACTCGTGGCGGAGCATCTTTGTCTTGCGCTTCTTCATGGGGCCCTGGAAGGTCACGCCGTCCTGCTGAGCGGCGGAGGCGGCTTGTTTGACGGGGAGGGAGGGCGCGAGGTGGGTAATGGGCGGGATAGCTTGCTCAAAGGGGGTTGTGCGCTCGATGGGGGACCAGGGGTAGTTCACACGGGGAGGGGCTTGGAGAGGCTGCTGTTGCTGGAGGGGTTGAGGGCGGACGGATGTGCGCGGGGAAGTGTGTCTGGGTGATGTGCGGGCGATGGGGGTCGCGGTGTTTTCGTTCAAGGCGGGAAGGACGGGGAACGACGGGCGGCGGGCAGAGGAGCGGGATTGGGTGCGGGAAAGGGGCGGCTGCTGCTGCTTGGAGACGCCGGGACGGTAGTTCATCTCAGGAGGAACAGACTGGGACACGTCGCGGGCGATGCGGTCCATGGGCACGGCAGTGACGGGAACATCCATCTCGGAGAAGGGAGTCCCGAAGCGGTAGGGGTTGTTGATGGGGCTCTGCAGGTCCGGAGACATGGCCTCGGCCCGGTCCATGTGGTAGGGGACGAAGCCTTGCGGCTGCTGCTGGTGGTGGTACGGGGGTGTCGAGAGCGGCTCCGGGTGGGCTGACGGAGGAGGGACTGTCGAGGCGCGGAGAGGGCTGGCGCGAGGAGCCTGCTTACCCGGGATGGAGAGCTTCGGCAGGTGACGGAGGCGTTCAGGCTGGGCCTTCATGGCAGGGAAGCCCATCTCGAAGGGGGGTGTCGGCGGCACCGTGGTATCCTCGTGCTTCTGGAAGTCGAGGAACTGGCGCACATTGTCCTGGGGGTCCCTCGAGATGACGTTGCGGAGGGCAGCCTCTTGCAGATACTGCAGAGGCGTGGCGTTGCCGGGGCCCAGCACGTCAGAGGAAGCCACCACGGACGGGACGGCGTCCGAGACAGGCCTGAGGATTTGCGTAGGATCGAGGGCCCTGGCAGTGTGCGGATTGCCTGGGTTTCCGGTGATGACGACCTGTTCCGTGTCGAGGTCGACAAAGGGGTGCTCCTTCTTGAAGGCCTCGATGAGGCGCTGCTGCTTCCTCCACTTTGAGCAGTTCTCACCCTTGGGGCACTGGTGCGGTTTGGGGACGACCTGCTCGATGCCGACGATGGACACGGATTCCATGGGCGTGATGATATCGTCGTGCGACGGCTTCTTGGGCCGCCTTCTGCTGCTCTTGCTCCTCTTCATCCCGCAGTCGTCCGTCTGCTGCCTTTCCGCCGCCCGGACCTCGCGAGTCTCTTTTTTGACTTCTCGGCTCGGCTCGTCTTGGATCGGCGTCGGGGCGCGTGGCGAGCTAGGTCTGCTGTCGCGCAAGACCTGAATCTGGTTCCAAACGCGCGTCCTCATGCCGAATGACGGAATGTCCAATTCCTTGAGATCCTCAAACTTCAACGTAATTAGGATGGGCCCGTTGATATCGTTCTCCACGAAGCGGCCGGCGACCGAGAGCTCAATGCCAGCATTGAGCATCGACTGCGCAACCATCTCTGGCGTCCATGAGACGAGCTCCCTCGACTCAAACTCTTCGTACGTGAACTGAAAGGGACCGCTCTGGTGTCTGGATGGGGGCATCGGCGGCTGCTGCGGTCTGATGTGTCGGAATGGCTCATCGAAAGGTCGCGCCGTCTTGGGTGTCACCGGGGACAGCGTCAGGATGGCCTCGTCAAAGTAGCTGGCGGTGGAAGCACGGAACAGGTGCGGGCCGGAAGGACCCTCAATGTTCTTGTTTGGTGACTCCATCATCTCTGTCGCATACATCATCCGCCCTTGACTCGATCTTGGCGTCTGCACCTCATCGTAGGATGAGAGTGTTGTGATACTTGGCTGGCCGCCAGACTTTTTTGCGCCCACACACGTTAGCTATAGCCCTCTTGGAGACGAGGCCACTGCCGCTTCCAACAAAATCACTTACAGAGTTGACACTGATCCGAGGAGAGTTGTCTTCAAACTCGCTGAGCACGTCGTCGTCCCATTCCATGTCCATGAACTCGGTCGCTACCGACGTTGGCCTTTGCGGCTCGGCTTTGATGCCAAAGAATGTGTCGCGCATGGGCGCCTTTTCGCGCATCTCATGGCGCAGGCGACGCTCGCCTCTTTCATATTCTTGTGTGTAGTTCTAGCGGCGCAAAGTCAGCCTCAAAAGCCACACACCGCGTCGCAAAACCCCCGTTTTGACTGTCATTCCTCAACTCACCATTTTGTGTGTATGTGTGTAAGTGGTTATTCCCAGATACGGAAAGTGGGGTGGAGGAATGTTCAAGAGGGCGTGGACTGGCTATATCTGACTTGCAGTCTACAGCGTAGGACAGCCTCCTCCGTGGCAATTTTGGTACCCTTTTCTTCTTTGCTTTTTCCCGTACAGCTGGGAATCGAGGGGGGAAGCCGTTGCCGGCAGTACTCTGCTCTATGAAGCCTGTAGATACTTGGGGATAGCGGCACGCAGTGCAAGCTATGGGGAGGTTGAATACGCCTCGGGGCTAGCAAACAAGACCAGCGAAAAGGAGATGCCTAAAGGAAAAAGAGATGTGAGGTCCAGCAGAGCCGAATATGCTCGTTTGGTATGTAACGGGTCGCAAAAGAGAAGAAGGAGGGGAGCCGGTACAAGGCGGGCGCCTACCGCGAGTTATGTATGTCTAGTGTGTCCATGCACGGCGGAGCAGTGTAGGGATGTGAGACTGGGGGGGGTGGTTGACCGTTGAGAAGGAGGAGGTGGAAGCATGGTGGTTGAGAGAGAGTCGGATCACAGCACATACGCAGCAGCAGCAGAAGCACGCACAGGTATCCCATCACCTACCCATGGCATGCCCTCGTTCCCCAATATGCATGCTGGCTCTGGTGTGATTCGACCTGTGGCACTTGCACACGGCGCCGATGGTGGCACTCTGAACAGACCAGTCGAGTGTATAATAATAGCCCGGGTGGTGTGTGGGCAGGTTAGGTATCTAGGTTCTGTGTGCTAGGTTCTGGGTTGGAGAGACGACAGAGGCAGATAGAAGAGTGCGCTTGCGTGTACCTACGTGCGTGTGTGTGTGGCCGAGCGGGCAAAGGCCCAGCCCATGAATCGACCATTCATTGAACCCTGAACAACGGCGGTGGTCCTAGGCGACGATACCGGCGTCGATTAGTTGTTGGGTGAAGATGTGAGGAGAGACAGAGAGTGAGTGAGAGAGAGAGGGAACGCTTCAAAGGCTGGTGGTTCCCCGGCCAAAGGGGGTGTGTAGCCGGGCAGCCATCCATGTGGATAGAGGTGCACAACCGGCAGCAAGCACTTTGCACTTGCAGCGAAGCACCACGCAGGACGCGGCATGTACTCCGTTCGTCCCCCCCCCCCCCCCATATCCCAACACAGGCAACTGGCCAGGCACAGGGCAGCACAGCAGCAGCAGTGGGCGGAAGCTGTGCTCGTACAGGCGTGGGGAAGCGTAGTAGTCAGTACTCAGCAATGGACCTGTCTCTGCTCTGTGAGGATGCGTGAATGGAAGGGGGGTGGTTCGAACTTCGAACAGAGAGAGGAGACAGAGGTTGAAGCGAGGAACGGGAGAAAGAGGGTCTAGGACGGCGCAAAGGTCGGGAAAAGTGTAAACCTGATTGGCCGGGGACGGGAGAAGAAGCTCGTGCATAGCGCCCAGCCGACGGACCTGGACTTTGGGCAAGAGCAAGAGGCAGGCGCTGGAGATTCCCATTGGCCATAAATCCAAAGAAACAAAATGTCGTGGGATGTTATTTTAGGGAACGCTAACACGCCATTGGTTGGAAAATCGGGATACCGTGAAGTTATCTACGGGAATACGTACATATATCCTTGCCCCCGGCTTGCCGCTACGGCGGCGTTTAAGCGCCCGTCTTTCTCAATCTGGCGGCCACTCGCTGTTCGCTTGTCGTCTGAATAAGTGGGTCATGTCGACGACCACCCCCCCGGTCGCCGGCCGTCAACGGCGTGAAGCACAAAAAAAAGGGAAAGGCAGGAGACAGAAGGGAAAGAGGGGAATGGGGGTGTGGCACACATCCGCCGGGATGAGACCTTGCCATCCTCTTTCTCTTTCTCTCTGCTGTATCCGAACGGATACGTCTCTCACCTCACCTCACCTCACCTTCAATGCTTTTCCATTTCACACCTTTTTTTGGGCAGTCATCCACAACTCCACAACACCCGATTGCGCACCCTCGTTCAACCCTCGCTCAGTCCACCGCCCGCAACATGGGCTCTTGCCTCTTGGTACATACACTCCGTACGTCCTCGAACTCGACTCTTCTGGCCCATAGCCCCCACACCATTCGAGCTAAAATTCCCATCGTGCCCTGTCCATCACCTGCAAGGATACCACTGACAAGGACCAGGGGCAAGGACGAGCAGCTTCCCCGGCACACACACCTCTCTCTCCCCGTCCATTTCTCTTCTTTTTTCCTAATGACCTCGCACCACACAAGCTTGAAGCCGCATGCCACAGCAATAAAAAAAGCAAAGAAAAAAGCTGCGCTGCACTGCGCTGCACTGCACACTGCACGCTTTCCTCAACCCGCCCGCCCGTCCGCTCGTGGTTCGCTAGTGCCCAGCTTACATACCATTACCGATACAACCAGCTTACAGCTTTACCTTAGCTATCCATGCCAGAGTTCCCATGCTTGCTTGGCACCCTCTTCTCGCCTTTCGCGGCCTTTGCAGAGAACCCCCAAAATGCGCCGCCCACCGCCTGCTGTTCGCGGACTTGTGTCACTATCACCGCCCACGGCCCACCACCCATCACTTATCGGACCTTAGCTGTCATCACATTCCAATCTTATCAAGTCTCTTTTTTCCCCCCAGGATCAAGCCCAGCACCACACAGGCGTAGTCTTAGCTATGTCTTTGACACTTCGCACCTTTAGTCTGGTCAAGGCATGTGGATCAAGACAAGACGAGACAAGCCATGTGAGCGCCCTGCCCAATCCCGTCATGGCCGTCCTCTCAACGGCCACCCGAATCCTTCTGGCTGGGAAACTTTCCCAAGGAATGCAATGGCCCGTAGAAGTCCTGCATCGTGCGGCTTTTCTTGCCCAGCAGTTCGTTTTCCCGTATGGCGGGACGAGCAAATCAGTGCTACACCGTGACCGGCCACCTTACTTGACCGTCCGTCAACCATACGCAGTAGAGAGAGGCCCAAAAAGAAAGAAAGGGGAGAATTACAGCCACATCTACACCCCCTCTCCCCATTTCTGCCTCCTTCATGTTGCACCCTCGGCTACCTACAGCCCACCGCACACCTCCGATCCCGACGAGTCTCGACTCTCAAATGTCCACGGTCCAGGGCCAGGACCCCACCCTCACGATCAACTGACTTCCCCTCACTGGTCTTCTCAGCCACTCAGTATGCCCATCGGGCCTCCATCGGAGAAATCCCCATCAAACCGAGACTACCATTCCGTCCGGGGGTTTTCGACGAGGCCAATGGCCTTGCGAGAAGCCTCTTTTACGAAAGGTCCCAATATGAGGCGAGATTTCGTCTTGGAATTGGTCCTCTTGGGTGACTGGACTGACATGGGACGCTTCGGATCTTAATGGGTCCTGCCACGCCCAAAGATGACCTTTCTTCGCCCAGTTGGCCCGTTGCGCTCCTCATCCTCCACCTTGCGTGTCACTGTCGGCGCAGTCCGTGGATCGCTTATCATTAGTCTCGCCTTGCCCTCAGCTCGCAAATCATGCGCGCCTCTGGATACTTACTTACCGCCCAATCGCTCCGTGTCAATAGCGAACAACGTGACCAGGCAAAAGCTGTAGCTGTGGCACATGACCTGCGCAACTGGCTCACCGTTGCTGCCAGACAAATTTGATAGAGGCAAAGAAATCTCTCAACAGTCAATGAATCCCCAGTCACATATCCACGTATGACTTCATACTCACAAGCCCTGCAGATGGCGGTCAAAAGTGTGACGAGAGGACATGGTTGATGCAGCAGCAGCAGGTCTCTTGGGCTTTTGCATTCGTATGTATGCACCCGTCGCTAGCTTCCATAGCTTGATGCCGTGGAATGGGAACTCTTGGCCTTGTTTGCTGGATGAGAGTCTCCATCCAGCGAGCCATACCTATCCCAAGAGGGACAAAGGGGGCTGGCAGAATGTGCTCTTGATAGGTAGACGACGATGGACGGTCTGGAGATGGTGGTACGACAAGACCTTGGTGGCCAGCTTTCTACCCCGCAGAGCCGTTGAGACAAATATGCGATACATGCCATGTCCGAAATATGGTTGCTGCCACACTCTTGTAGGTTGGCGGATTGGGATGCGGTGATATCTGATAGAGCTGCAGTATCGGACCTTGCAGAATTTGGGAAGCTGACACCACCACTCTGCTCTCTCTCTCTCTCCGGATACAGGATCTGACTCTGCTAATCGAAGTGTCCAAAAAGCACATCTGATTGGGGCGCAGATAATGACATTGGAAAAGTCAAAGCATTGGTGAGTTGCCATTGCTACCATGGTGGCAGCCGATTCCGGTCCCAGAAATTCCAACCCCTCTCCCGGCCGGCAATCAACCAGTTGCGCAACATCAACTTCTGTGTGTCGGTGTCGGTGAAGCACCACACATCTCCACATGTAAGGGAGCAATAATGTGCTTCGAGGAACGACAAGAGGCCAGCGCAGAGAATTTCCGCTGACTCATAAGATAGCCTAAAAGTGCTGTGAACTTGTGAAGGTCGACCCCGTACTTGCCTTAGCAGTGTGACGCTCTGCAGGGAAGCATAAAGCACGCTCCCGCTACTGCATCCCCATCTTCCATGTTCATTCCAGGTGGTGTTCGATGCGTCTCCGAGACATAAAAAAGCCGTGGCGGTATCCGACGGGACAAGAATTTGTGAATCATATGCAGTCTTGCCTTCTTCACCGACTCTTCACGTCGTCTGGCATGCCCTTGGATGACCTCATCCGATCATTTCCGCGAGACAGGGAGAACATGTGTTCAACAATGCCTCAGTGTCTCGGCCAGATCAAGAATCTTTCCTTGCGCTGTTGTCTCAGTCCCTTCAACGGCAATCCATAGAGAGCTTGTCCGACCGGAGCCGGGTCGCACAGAGAAACACCTGGCGGTGATTGAGGTTAAACAGCGACCAGTAAGAGGCCGAAATGCGAATGGCGGAAGGAAATCCCAGCAATGGAGAATTGACTGTCGATAATTATGCTCCGCGGCCGACTCTACCCGATGGCCATTCGAGATTCAGTGCAAGACCAGGCCATGTTCCAAGGCAATTGGGCAGGGCGTCCGCATTCAATTTCTGATCCTGGAGGAGGATCATCGAATATGGCTAACCCTAACGTGGGCTGGGGCACAGTGCACCTTGTACACACCCCTCAGCCCGCAATTGAGCCCAGCAGGGGTTGATGGCTATAGTATGGCGGACGATGGTGTGGTTTGGGGGAGGCCATCCTCGAATGATCCGGCGTATTCTCGAGGGTGTTTTTACCTTGTATGTGTTCGTGAGAAACGACGTTCTCCAGACATGTCTCCAGTGCGCAACTCATGTCCTCCAATGAGTTGGCTGGAACACGTTTTCACGCGCTCTCACATGATGGCGAACTAATGCGAGCCTCGCACTACTGTTGTGGATGGATGACTCTCCCGCTCATGTCAACCAGTGGATTTCGATGCTGCAAAGGGGATTGTGATGGTGTTGACGAGTCTCAGAACCAGAACTCGTTGCATTGTGACCGTTTGCAAGCCCCTAGAAATCTCTTCGTCAGATCGCATGGCGATGCGGCGCGGATGGCCTGAGCGAGACGGATGCAGGTCATCGTGATTTCGGTCCGCAACTGGCGCTCCACTAGTGGCATGTCGAAAATGGCTGCCATCTCGTAGTTGACAGGGCGAGGCGAGCCGATACAGAGGGCGTGGCTTATCATCTGCAATGTGCTTGGCATCCATCTGCCACGAGTCGTATCGCTAGCAGTCAATTTATCCAGACAATGGGAAGCATTGTCCGTAAGATGGCTCTTCAAGGTTTCCTTTGTCATTCGTATCCTCAATGCAACATCAAATTCGTAATTCATTGTTGGTTGAAATGCATCCGATGTTAGGGCCTAGAATGCTAAATCTTCGGTGTTATTTGAATTGTCGATTGTTGAAGAGAAAGGTTGTCAGCTGCATGCCATCCCGTAATGTCTAGACATGCGACGTTGAAAATCATGCAAACTTTCCTATTGTGCCTTGGGGTCCGAAATCTGACCTCACGGGGGCCATGTTCTCTTCCAAATTGCAATGCAGTATGCGCTGTATTTGTGATTCTGTGCCGCAATACAACACAGTATTTGAGTGAATCGCGGCGTTGGGGGTTGGACCTGGAAGCTTAGATCCACAGATTCAGCGGGAGGGCGGGAGAGCATGGATCTGGTACAGTGCTCCCGTACGGTACGGAGCTCAAAGCTGAGAATGTCGGCCAGGGTGTTCCTGGCCTTGTGAGATTTGCTAGGTAGTCGACCACAAAGGTTTGTCTGCCGCTTTGAATAATGCCGCGATCTTTCTTAGTTCGCGCGTCTTCTTCTCCATGTTTACGGACGTAATATTTTCGCCAAAGGCAAACAATGAGCCCAGAGACAGACTAGAGGCCGTAGGTTCCGACTAGGATCTGTGTCGATGTGCCGCGCGTGGCTGGGGTCCAGAAGCGACGCGATGTTGCGCCGTTCGCGAGCTGTTAGCGGAAGAGCGGGAAGACTGGGATGCCCAGGCGTGGTTTCTGTTCTCCGCAAAATCTAGCGGCCGCATTCCCTGCAATCCGATATCTCGACCCTCAAGGTTCAAAGATGCTGTTCACATCACATCACATTAATCTAGCCACAACAGGACAGTGATTGGGGATGATGGGCACACCTCAACGCCTCAAAGTCTGTCCGCCAATCAACGGCGCGGGGTTTGCTCGCTGCCATTGACGACTCCAGAAGATGAAAGCCGACATAGGTAGTGGAGGGAAACGATATGTGTGATCTGGAGAAAAGGAGATTGCACCGTGACAGGGGCGTCCTTCTGTCGCCTCTTTCTGGCTGAAAGCAGGTACGAACGAGGCTGTTGACCTTGCAACCGAAGTCGACGATCGCCTCAACTCAATCGAATGGTTCAATGCCACCATATCCGCAGTGTAGTATCCGTCATGTACAAGGGGAAATTAGGGCCCGAGGGTGAGGCACAAAAACAGTGTCTTGGCCACGCCGATCGTTGAATCATGCCATATTTGGCTGCGAGAGAATGAATATTTATGTCGAATAGTGTTGTTATATGTGCCGCACGAGCTGACAATGCAAATGGAAGGGTCGGATGTAGATGAGGTTGTGATAGCGAGCACCGATATCAATCAGTTGGGCACTGACAGTCTGACAGAACGGCAACCCGACCAGCGAGGCACATGTGGCGTCTGACCGGATAAACTTGCGTCTTCCGCGGGACGGACGCTGACGAACGGCGGGCTCTACTGCGGCGAAGGCGGGACGTAGTGTATCCGTACTGCGGGACGGGCAGATAATTGTTGCGCACTCCGCGAGCCATGGGCCCCCTGAGACTCGAGAGACGCGATGGGCGACGATCGTGGACATTTTGCGATGATTGTGATTGTCAGCGGGCAGAAAGGCAGGCATCATGTTGCGAAGGAAAAGAAAAAAGACCCCGGGCTGTTGGCTGATGACCGCGTGCGCAGAAACCTAGTCAAGGTAGGTACGGCACGGATGCTGTACAGGCCGGGTGCTGCCTCGAGGCGGCGAGCTGTTGGTTCGAGCCGCCGATGCAAGACCGTTCGTTACTGACGGGTAGGTTTGCAGTGTACTCCGTAGACCCCGGATTAATGGCAAACCAACGCTCCGTCGAGTGTATTGGCGTGAACTAAAGTTGACGGAGTTCGGATGTAATGGCGGTAGGTAGTGTCGTTGGAGCTAATTAGGTCCTTTGGGCGATGGTGCCAGTTGGGTGGGAAGCTGTCGCCATAATTAGCCCGCATGATCTAAAAGTTGGCAGACTATCGATATGGGGTGATATCGTGACCTGGCGGGTTAAACTCCCGGATAAGAGGGATAATCCTCTCAGAATGGGGGTAAAATAAAAATAGAAGCAGACGACGGTTGTTAGTTGGCGTGACTGAATTCTGCGGGTGACAGTAAACAGCTGCAGCGGCTAGACGATGTGACGGGCTGGATGACGCATGGAGAGGTGTGCTCAAATTAGCCCACATGTCAGAGTTGCAAAAGGGCAAATAGTGTGACGCAAAGAGGGTTAATTCGATCACGCATCATGAGCTGGGCGGCTAATTAGGCCGCCAGAAATAGGACCAGATGGGATCATGGATGAGGTTTGTTCCGAGGGTGACGGATGGCCAGATGGTCAGATGAACGGTACCTATCCGTACTGCTTAAGCAAGCAATGGAAGGTACAGGGAAGTGAAGATGATCCGAGTATTCCGTCTCGGAAGGTGGTGAGGGCGGTACTCCGATGCCGTACCTTAGGGCAACGTAGCCAAGTACATAGGTAGTCCGTACCTTAGCTCACCAGGCAAGAGCGTCCTGTTGACGGGAGATCACCATCATCGGCGGACCTTGCCCGACGTGCCTCCTCCAGACAGCAAACTTGCCGTGCGGCGGGCGGCGTGCCTGCCAGATGCATACGGCAAGGAAGGTACCTTAGGTTGTCGTTCGGCAGCACTTGCACGGCACGGAAGGAAGCGGAGAGCAGGAATAGGAGGGGAAAGAGATGAAGATACGTCACCGTGATTGGCCGAAATTCGTGAGGAAAGCACAAAAGCCAGATTTTGGCTGGCAGATGGTGGACAAGCATCTGAGGAACGTGCCATGCGTGCCTTCCGCTGCAGCGCCTTTGCTTCCCTGCGAGGGCAAGAGCAAGAGACAAGAGGGGCAGGAAACATGGAGCTAAGGTGCCTTAGCATGCGAACCCCGCGAGAAGGTGCCCTGTCACTTGCCGCGCTCCTGCCGCGTATTGGCCAAAGCTCTGCCCCCACCCGGAAGACTAGCTGGGGGGTCCCTGACCAATATTCCTGCACGATCTTCTCGCTTGCAGCAAACAATAGCCAATCCGGGGCCGTAGCGGTCCTTTCGTAAGAGCTTAAATCCCTGCGACATCACAAGCGCTAATGAACGGTTGGTCCCGAAGCCCTGCACGAGACGACAAGTCGTCACACCTCGCCGTCGAATCAACGTCTGCGCCAGCCCTCTTGACAAAGGAACCTCGACTGCACCGACAATGACG